GGCGGGGGGGACCAGCACCTCCCGGTCCTTGGATAATGGGGCCATAAGGGTTCGGAGCCATGGGTCTCCAGGAGCATCCCCGTGAAAACCTCGCCAGGGTGCCGGGGCCCCGCGGCAGATCCCAAGCATGGGGCCGAGGGCTGGCAGCCCGCCGGGCTCCCTGCATCCGTCATGGATGGATGGGGAAGGACCGAGGGAGATGGAGCCAGCTCCACCGGCTGGCAGGGTGCTGGTTTTAGTGCTGGAGCTGGGAAAGGGACGTGGGGACATGGAGGGCGGCAGTTTGGGCTCCAGCCCATCCCGTCACATGCCAGAGGAGCTGTGCGTGGCGTGGATCTGGGCGTAGGGTTCCTGTTCAACGCGTTCCAAAGTGAGGGAGTGAGTAAAACCACCAGCATCCTGGGGAAGCTGAGTCAATCGTTTCCTCTGGCTGCCCCACGGTATTTTTAACAGTGCAGTTATCCGGTGCCCCGGCGGTTGCCGTGTATTTCCGTAGCCCATAGGGGTGCGGGTGGGTGCCAGCCCACCCCGGGACCAGCCTCTGCAGGAGACAAGGCCATTTCCACTGGCTCATGAGCCGTGATGGGATGGAGCCATGCTGGCATGGAGCACACAGACACCCCACTTGGGATGCTCGGGGTAATGCTCCCCATCCTGTATCCCATCTCGCTGCCTTTCCCTGGAGAAGCTGCCAGCAGAGGTGGGATTTGCTGTCTCACCCCCATCCTTGCAGGGCAAATCCCAGTGCGGATCCTCTTTTACCGCCTGCTATGGGAGGGAATTCACGGGAAATCAAGCAGGAAGGTTTAGTTCTCACCTTCCACGGGCTTGCGGCAGGGGATGGAGTAGGTGGAGCAAATCCACGGAGGAGAGGCTGGGATATGGCCTGAGCTGGGGAGCAGAGGGAGGTGTGGGGGACAAGGGTGGACAGAGGGAATAGTGTGTGGTGGGAGCAGCGCAGTGCGCCCCGTGGTCCATTCCCATCTTGAATTGAGGGGGGCTGAGCTTTCAGGAGGTGAGAGCTGGTGTGGGTTGGTGTGGGTTGTCACCTGCAGAGTGGCTGGGGATGCTCAGGGACCTCCTGGTCCCCATGTCCCCACTCACCCCTGCCCCTGCTCTCCCAGTTCCCACTGCATTTTTGCTTTGCTTTACTTTCCCAAGCAAGGACGGTGCTCGAAATTCATCACAGCCACTGTGCTCTGTGCTGCTAACGGAGCAGTAGGTCCTACAATAATACAGGCGGGCAGGATGATGGACAGACATCTGGCTGGCACCATCCTGGGCTTTGTCTTTTCTAACCCCGTCCCTCCTCTTCTTCCTCTGCAGGTGCCGGCGCCTGCCCGGGCAAAGGTGGCCGTGATGGTCGAGGGCAGAGAGCTCATTCTGGTGCTGGAGAGGAACCAGTAAGTGTTGGTGTTGGGTTGGGGAAGGGGCGTTGGATGTCCCTGGCATGATCTCAGCTGGAGCAATAGTATCCTGGCTGCCCTGTCCTGGTTCTCCCGCGCACAGGGGAAGGGACAGCCCGATGTGGCTTCCTGCCAGCTGTGGCCGATGCGGCAGTTTGGGCTGAAATGTTCCTTTTTTTCCGCTGCCCACACCCATGTCGTGCAAGAAACAGCCTTGGCTCGACGTGGCAGTGGGGGCCCAGCCCGGGTGGAGGTGGTGGAGGGTGCTGAGGGGATGGGGATGGGCCAGGCAGGGGCTTAGCGGGACAGGGGACTCTTGAGCTGCTGTCCCCCTGATAGGGCTGATCCTGTGAGGTCTTTGGAGGTATCTCATGGTGGGCCATGCTGACTGCTGGCAGTGATTTGGAAACCTCTGCTGTTCTTCTGCTGGTCCGTTCTTGGGGTCCACAGTCTGGCACCCTTCATAGGTGACCTTACTCGACCCTTTTAGGGCCCTGTCTCTGGTTTGACTTGTATGCAGGTGCCAGCAGCATCTGTCTGCCGTGACACTCACCTAGCCTGGCATCTCCTTGCACCAGGGCTGGAGCAGGGCAGAGGAGAACAATCATCTCCAGGCTGGAGAGGTGGCCCTGTGCGAACCTTACGCAGTTCAACAAGACCAAGTGCAAGGTCCTGCACGTGGTTCGGGACAATCCCAAGCACAAGTATGGGCTGGGCAGAGAATGGATTGAGAACAGCCCTGAGGAGAAGGAGTTGGGGGTGTTAGTTGATGAGAAGCTCAACATGAGCCAGCAACGTGCGCTGGCAGCCCAGAAAGCCAACCGTGTCCTGGGCTGCATCCAAAGCAGTGTGGGCATCCGGTTGAGGGAGGGGATTCTGCCCCTCTGCTCTGCTCTCCTGAGACCCCCCCTGCAGTGCTGCATTCAGCTCTGGGGTCCCCAACACAAGAAGGACATGGAGCTGTTGGACAAGGCCTCATGACATTTGTCCCTTTGCAGGTTCAGGTCCCTCCTGGTGCTGGGTGGCCCCTGCGGTGGAGCAGGGTGGAAAGGCAATCTCTGCAGTGTACTTCTGCTTCTCACCAGCAGCTCTGGGAGGCTCGTGGCTGGCAGAACCCTCTTCTTACTGCTGTTTGGGTGCAAAGGCAGTCACCACAGTGTCCCCAAACAGTCCTGCTGGGCAGCAGGTCCCAGTGACCTGCGAGAGGCTTTTGGTGTGCGGGAAGGAGAACTGGAGGGTTCTCGTGCACGTTGTGTTTTATGACTGTGGGCAGTGAGGGGTTTGGCAGTGGGGGTTGAAAGCTCACATGCAAAGCTTAGTCTTGTTTCTAGCTGGTGCACCAGGCCTGGAGATATTTGTATGTCCTCTCATGACCCTCATTCTGGCTTTGTGTCACTTTGCCCTGCTGAAGGGATGAGTGTGGCCAGGAGGGATGAAGAGCATCCACTGGCAGGACTGGAGGAGCACAGGGCACTGCAGGGTGCTGAGCTCTGGACTAGGACGCAGTGAAACAGATGAGGGGGTTGGTGGCAGCAAAAAGGAGCTGAGCACCCCGGGCAGTCCATGGCACCCAGGACCATCTGTGGTACCCACAAAAAGCATTTGTGGCACCCAGGACTGTCTCTGACACTCAGGACTGCCTGTGGCACCTGGAGCCATCGGTGGCACCCAGAACTCTCTGAGGCACCCAGGACTTTCCATGGCATCAAAGAGCATCTGTAGCACACAGGACCATCCATGGCACTCAGGGTAGTCCACAGCACTCAAGATCATCCGTGGCACCCAGGACAGTATGTGGCATCCAAGTGCATCTGTGGCACCCAGGAGAGTCCATAACATCAAAGACATGACACCCAAGAACTTCCATGGCACCCAGGACCATCTGTGGTGCCCAAGGCAGTCCGTGGCACCCAAGAGTATCTATGGCAATGAGGACCATCCATAACACCCAAGACAGTCTATAGTCCCCAAGACCATCCATGGTACCAAAGATAGTCCACATGGCACCCAGGGTGGTCCACAGCACCCAAGACTGGCTGTACCTACTGTTTGTGTCTACTGGAAAGACCAGTGCAGCCCTGGCCATCTACACTGCTGTCTTGTGCCAGCTAACAGGGCTACCTTAGCCCTGCTTGCTCATGGGCCGGTGAGGCCATGCTAGACCTCAAATCTTCCTTGTTCTGATACTGGGAGATGTGACTGGCTTCTAAAACCATCCTTTGTGGTGTTTTACAACAAGACATTCCCTTGTGCTGGTGGAGAAGACACATCCCCATGCCTTTCCTTCCTCAGGGCTCCTGGTCCTTAGCCTGCCCTGGAGAGGACATCCCGGTGGTCTGAGTCATGCAGGGACTTGCTGTGCCCCCAGTTGGGGAATTGGCTCAACTCTCCCAGTTCTGCTCATTCCCTGGGCATGGCATAAAGGCTTTTACCTCTCTGCTGTTGTCAACTAACCCATCCCTGTCCCCATCCTGTGTGGGCAGCTGTCCCTCTGTGCCCACACTGGCTGGCTGCTTGTCTCGCCAGACTGCCCACAGGCCCCGTTCCAGGACTCGGGCTGAGCTCCCGTCTCCGGTCTCTGCTGTAACTGGAGTTCCTGGTGCCAGGCACCCACTCGCCGGCGGGCTGGGAAGGCGGGAATGTGCCCACAGTGACATTTTTGGGACCACACTGGTTGCAAAATAGAAACCAAGAGGCGGGAGGACTATTCTGGGGCTGGCTGCTCGGTTTATTTTCTTCTGCTGCAGAATAAAACTCCTGGGACGAGGCCAAACCCTGCGACTCGAGGGCCAGACAGTCAGCAGGGTTAAACCCAGCCCTGCTTTGTCCTTCTCCAGGCAGCCAAGAGCCCTGCGTGGACGCTGTCCCTTGGGGGACCCAGTGTCCCCACGGTGTCTGCAAGCTTGTGGTGGGACGCCCATCACCCTGGCATCTGGGCAACATCATGCAGATTTGGGCAGTGCGGGAAACTCATGTGCCCTTCTCTTCTCTCCCACCACCCATGGGCCCATTTCAGTCTCTATCTCCCCTGTCTACTCCTCGGCACCCCCAGCCCCACACGGTTGCTGGTTGCAAGCTCAGCTCTGGCTCTGCCCCACGACAGGAAGCAATGTGTCAGCATGGGATGGGATTGCATCACGGGTGGCTCCTGGACCAGCCTTGGTGGGAGATGGCTGGCATCTGGGGTGAAGGCAGAGGGGTGCGGGCTCTGCTAAAAGCAGGCTGAGCTTTCTCATTATCAGCTCTGGTTTTTATGGGGACCCTCCGCCCTGTTCCAGTGGGAGCATCAGCTGCTCTGTGCTGTGGGTGAGGCAGAGGGACATGCCCAAGGCTGGAGGGGGTGGCTTTGTCGGAGACTCAAAACCTTCCCTGTCCTTAGCTGATGTCCCCAACACAAGAAGGACATGGAGCTGCTGGAGTGGGTCCAAAGGAGACCATAAAGATGATCCAAGGGCTGGAGCACCTCTGCTATGGAGACAGGCTGAGAGAGTTGGGGTTGTTCAGCCTGGAGAAGAGAAGGCTCCAGGGAGACCTTCCAGCAGCCTTCCAGTACCTAAAGGGGCTACAAGAAAGCTGGAGAGGGGCTTTTGACAAGGGCGTGTAGTGACAGGGCAAGGGGTAATGGATTTGAACTGAAAGAGGGCAGAATTCTATGAGATCTAAGGAAGAAATTTTTTACAATGAGGGTGGTGAAACGCTGGCACAGGTTGCCCAGAGAAGCTGTGGCCACCCCATCCCTGGAAGTGTTCAAGGCCAGGCTGGACGAGGCTTTGAGCAACCTGGTGTAGTGGAAGGTGTCTCTGCCCATGGCAGGGGGGTTGGAACTAGATGATCTTTGAGTTCCCTTCCAACCCAAACCATTCTATGATTCTGTGGACTCCAAGTATGAGGTTGACTCTGTCTTTGCTTCCCCCCGGGGACTTTTGTAGTTCCATGGCAGATTTGATCCCTATGGAGAAGCTGTCACCCTCTCTGACTGCTCATCCTTGGTGGTGGCCCCTGAGCCAGGGGGTGGGTGGGCAGCCGGTCTCCTGCTATGTGGGTCAGCAGCCTCAGACCAGGAGGACCCTGAAGCAGGACAGACACCCCCTTTCCTTGCAGAGATGCAAAGGGGGACACAGAGACATTGGACTGCGATTCATGTCCCCGCTAGCCGTGGGCAACCGGTGGCTGGGGACCAGCCCTGACT